GGATTGGACAGAACATCCGGCAGATCTGCTGTGAAAATGTTGAACAGTACGGGGGAGAGCACACCTCCCTGAGGTACACCACTGCATGCCTCACGCACAGTTGATAACGAGTCCCCGACCCTAACTTGAAATGTTCTGTTATCCAGAAAATCCTGGATCCACTTAACAACCAGTGGATGGAAACCCAAATGAACAAGTTTATGAATTAGCACATTATGTGGTATCCTATCGAAGGCCTTAATGAAGTCAAAGTAAATTACGTCCACATTTTTCCTTTGATCGAGAGCTTTGGACCAGTCATTTACACAGCTGAGTAGAGAGGTTTCAATAGACCTACCGCTGCAAAAGCCATGATGAAATGCAGTTAGAATGTGATTCTTTTCCATGTGGTCAAGCAAGTACTTTTTGATGATTTTTTCAAAGACTCTGGCAAAGATTGAGGTCAGGCTAATTGGCCTGTAGTTGGCAGGACATGAAAGAGGTTCCTTTTTGGGTAGAGGTAAGATTATGGAATGCTTCCATTTACTGGGTACCTCGCTCCTCATAAGGCTCAGGTTAAAGAGAAATTCAAGTGGGCCACAGATTTCATAGATGCAATTTTTCACAACGACGAAAGGAATATTCTCGCAGTTAATCGCTGAGGCAGACGTCCAGTTCAGTAACACCTTAGCAATAGAATGCTTATCAAACCACGGAGCAGAACCACAGCAGTTAAAATTTGTACGACCCAAATCTGGTAAAGACACCTGTGACTTACAAAAGGCTTTTTCGAAAGTATTAGCAAATGCTTCCGCTTTGTCAGATTCCGTGATTGCTCTGTTGGAGCCGTCTAACAAAAGTGTGCCTACATTGCTTTTCTGTGCCAGTCTTACCTTGAGTAAAGCGAAAAGAGCTTTGGAACCGCCTTTAGATAATTTTTTGTTTTCAAGGTAAGCGTAGTACTTGTTTAGACTTTTTAACCATTTCTTACTGGATACATGAAAGGCATCCCAATCATGTGAGGTCTGCGAGGCTACAGCTTTTTTCCAAAGCTTTTCTCTGGTGTTATACATTGAGGCCAGGTACTTAGGTAGATTATGTTGATTCAATATTGCTTCGTAATTTGAATGGGATGAACATGTCCATAGAATGATGCAGTATAACCAAAAACATTTCATACATATCGTTAAGACTTTGGACATTGCTAAAGGAACCAATCCAATCGACATTCCTTAAATATTCCCTCATGGCATCAAAATTTGCATTCTTGTAGTCCCTAACCCAAAACCAACTGCTCGGGGAAAAGCGGGCGAGCAGTTCAAATTTCACAACGCAGTGATCGCTACTTCCTAGAGGTGGATGCCTAGTAGTTGATTTGATGAGCGTTCTGTCATTACATAAGAGCAAATCTAGAATGGAATTGTGTCTAGTGGGAAACGAAACGAACTGAGTGAAATTATGCGAAATGAAAAGATTCAGAAATGAATCAGGCACCGTACATGAGGCAAACAGCTGGGGTATGTTGAAATCTCCCGCCAACAAGCAAACAGAACCGCATGAACTCAAATCACTAATAGCCTTTGAAAGTTGAGTGTTACTGGCTGCATTGCAAGAGGGAGCTCTATAAACAAGAATTAATCTGAGTTCCATACAGTGAATCCAGATGTCACAGGCAAGAATCTCGTAGGAGTCTTTTACGGACTCACGAAAGATAACAGTTGTAGAACATGAATTTTTGACCAAAATCGCAACCCCTCCGCCCTTTTTGTTGATCCTGTCAGAACGAAAAATATTGTATTGCATCGCCAGTGAGCCAAATAAAGGAGCAACATCAATCGACGAATTTAACCAAGTTTCACACAACAAAATGAGGTCGGAGCTCTCCTTACAGATAAAAGCAATGAGCGCATCAACATTTTTAACAAGTGATCTAATATTAGTCAAGAAGCAATTGATAAAGGAAGAATCATGCCGCAGAGCGTTTAAGCGTTTTTCGGCAAAGAATTGGGGGAATGAGCGCTGGCGACTGTAACAGTAACATTATCCGAAATGGGAGAACTTATATGAAGATTACGAGGCGAAGTCATAGAAACTGCAGATCTATTGGCAACCTTAGCTAGACGAGCTTCCCGTAACTGATCTCTTTCTTCTTTACTGAGTGAAGGGCGAAGAAAGACACCCTTAATCTCGAAAGAGCGCAGACGTGAAGCTCTTTTCAATACAAGACGCTGGAATGAAGAAGTAGGCAAGACCACCTTCAAAAGACGAGGGCGATCCGGTGTGGGTCGCCCCATTCTATAAACATGAGAAGGCACACACTCTATATCGAGATAGTTCAGCACAGAATTTACAGCTTGAAAATCACTGTTTGCCCTATCAATAGATGAAGGAGCGTTAGACTCAGGGATTCCTATGACAACAATAGATCTTTTCTTTCTCAGTATCTAATTCTTCCCTAGCATTAACAACAGGCGACTCCAAAACCGATTTAGCTACATTAGCATTCAGCTGGGCATCTTTTGTTCAATGATTTTCCTCAAATTGGTCATTTTCAGTCTTAAGTTTATCATACTCTTCAGTGAAGTGCGCTACCCATTTCTTCATTGATTCCATTTGTTCCTTAGTATCGATTAAAATATTCAGAATAAGCCTGATGTACACAGGAGCCCCTGGTTCAATACTTTCTTCGAGAAGCTTCCTCCAATCCTCTCCTTTATCAGGTGAAATGCAGTCAACATGTTTCCTTTTGGATGCAGGTACTGAAAAAGATCGCAGTGGAGTGTTCATGCGTGATGCAGACAAATCCATTGTTGATCAGTTGGCAATCAATGAAAGATCAGTGCCGACACAGCCAAGAAAAGTCGAGAAAAACGGGGATGACTCGAAGACACCAAAAAGAAATAAGCGAAAATACACCTGTCTCGGTGGCTATCCAATAACGTATGCAGATTCGACCCCCGCCACAAGAGGTCTCGCGGAAATAGAAACAATCTTCGATACCAAATTCAGGCGAGGACTGCTGACAGAAGGAAGTTCCGACTCTAGTACAGGCTAAATAACAATAGAATCCAGGTAGCAGTGCACTATTCAGAATAATCAGAGAAGTCTGGAAGTCTAGAATAGCAGTGTGCTCCGGTAGCAGAATATCACACTTCAAGTAGTCACGCCAATAATCAATATGGGAGCACTCGCAAATGCGGCCGCTCACGACCCGGACCGGTGGCGAGAATGCAATGAAAAATAATATATATGATTTAGGCGGGGTCGTACCATTTCACTCATCACGATGCTGTGCCCTGCTTGTAGGTCTCCAAAGAAAAGCCTTGTAGTTAGCATACCAACAAAAGGAACCAACGAAGGTACAAAATGCCCTCTCCGAACCAAACATCGCAGTCTTCCTTATACCTTCCACGTTATTCTCGCTGGGGATTTAGTTCAGCTCCGGCGGAATCTTTAATTCTTCCTATCTTCGATTATTTCTCTCATTGCTAGAGTGGTAATGTGCTAATTTATGGACGTGGTTCGCTATCACTCGTATGTATGGCATCCCCATCTTGCATAGGAGCCTATTTGCTGTCCCCATTCCTGTGACTGGTCATCGCAGAGCGCCAGAGGGACGATGGCACCTGAGCTTTAACCGATAGTTGCTTGATGTTGCTAATATCATTTTTTGAGACATTTTGACGATGGGGGGGGGGGGGCATTTCCGCACGTTTGCTACTTCTTTCCTATCGATGTATCTAGCCATCGTGGAGACCTGTGAAATCTTGTGAAGCCACGAAATGATTCCAGCCAAGTGCGAGGTCACTTTCAATGAAATACCACACAAATTCCATTTGCCACGGTGGTTCGACGAGCTTCACAAGCGTCTACAGGATTCACCAGGGTGAGACTTGTGAAGCGGAACCAGTAAAGCAGCGAAAGTGCAAAATGCCCCCCCCCCTTTCGCCAAACTGCGCCGAGTTTTTTTTTCATATGCTTTGAAGTTGATATGTGATCTGATAAGAGGCAGGAGCTTCAGTTATTAATTTCCTGTATACTGTTACTATTCAGGAGGAATCCATTCCCGAAGAAGCCGCATCCGCTATACGGTTAGCTGCTGGAAAAGCACAGTTACTTGTGCGCAAAAAATTGTCTAAATTCGATGAACTGGTGAAGAAGAACTTGGTGAGTGAACTGCTGTGCTTTACTGTCCTGAAACGCTCTTTTGATTCCAATTATCGATTTCGAATGATTACCATAACCGAGTGTTCAAGTCAGAATTTTGCAGAATCCAGTCGAAGGTGATCATCAGCCGGCTACTGTAGATGATTTAGAAGGGTACTGGGCCTTGGTCGAAATTGAGCTCAATGATATTGACGAGTGCTTTCAAAAGGTGAGTCTTCATATGGTATTTGTCGTCTTAAGCTGGAACAAATTTTCATCCCAGTCTTGGCAGATTTGGATATATGGTAGTTTAGCACGATAGGCGTGGAAAACGATACCGCCACGCGCGAGACGAGTTGTCCTGCCGGGCCATTTCTTTTCGAATGTTGAAGGGATGGGAAGGATTGATATCTTTCGGCATTCAGTCTTACCTTCGCTTGAATTTGCATAAGTTCTGCTGCTCCAATCGGCAAACTGATGCGTCGCGCGCGACGGCGCGGCAAGTTGCGATTGTCATGTCCA